CACATCTAGACTCAGACATTACCTAGCAACCTCCACTTGGATGGATTGAAGGCTGCATATGCAAAACAGCATGAAATGTACCTGGCAAACATTATGGAAATCTTGAGTTAAGTTACCCATGATTTGCCATCATTATGTGCAAATTGACTCTAATTCTGAAAGCCATATGCATTGGCATTTCCTTAGGGAGAGCAGTAGCCTGTGCTAGGAATGTTGCTGAATTCACCTATATCAAGAAGCTCATTTTCTGATGGAATGGAAGTGAAAAATGTTTGTTCTCGCAATCTACTTTCCGGAACAGGACTGACAATAAATCTTCTTCCTGCAGAATGGACGACCTGAGTCAACGAATTAGGAGGAACACCTAAAATAAAAAGGGAAAAGATAAAGATTATGGCTTTGCAATTTCTTACAGACTTATGTTCAATTTTCTACAAGGATCAAGTATTCTGGTATTGAACCAAGCTGTGATGGACTTATATGCTGGGATTGGGGCAATCCAAGATGGTGAGAGAATTCAATAGTGGTTACCTATTCTTTGTGGCATGGAAGACACAGGATCTGGTTGCTTGAAGTCTCCATCCAATTTCTGAAACAAATACAATGGTTATTTTGCTGCACAATCTCAGAATTAGATATTATTGTACTAATGCCTACCCACAGTAGACAAATTTTTGTTTGGCCCTTACTCAAGACACATTATATCTTCCCAACAAGCTACCACATGTACCCACACTGACTAAACAAATGCCAAGTTCTTTCAACAACCATTGCAAATAGATGTTTCAGGCAACAGGCTCTTCTTTTCCAATCTTAACCAATTATAATTCTTTCCAGAGGGTAATCATGCTAAATCTACTGCAGCAAGAACAGTTAGGAGTCTTAAAGTCTAACACATTTATCCAGGCATAAGCTTTCATTTCTTCAGATGCAATGGAGTATCGGGGAGTGTTTCATATGGTTGAGGGTACTGTGGTGTGGAGAACTGTGAACACCAAAAGGCAAGTATGACAATCATAGTATTAACAGTATTAACAGTGGCCACTCATATTCCAGTACTAGATAAGCCAGTTAATACATATAGGTAATGAAAGCCCTTTATCCCAGTAAAACAGGGATGGACAGACAGAGGTGAACTCTGGTGTTTAAGTTCATCAACTATTTTGATTTAGTAGATTTTTGCCTCATTCTACCTTTACTTTGTTCCAGAATATCCTGGGAGGCTGAAGTGTTCCCCCACAGGATTTTCTGTCTTGCCATTTATGATGTCAGATTTGTGCTCTTTTCTTATCTCTTTTCCATAGTGACTGGCCTGTCTGTCCTGTGTAGAATACAGAAGGGAATTTCTGAGACAAATGGCAAGTCAACTGGTTGATGAGCAAGTCAATGAACACTTTAATACTGTAGGTGATGCCATTAGGTTGTGTTATAGCATTTCTAGAGTAGATGTGGGGGCAGAACTGGCACCTGGTTTTGTTACCAAGTCTGGCCCCTGTGTTTGTGTCCTCATTGTGTGGCCTGTTGTTGCTAGTGAATTGCTGTTTCAGAATGCAGGGTTGTCTATAAATAAGCATTGGTTTACCACCCGTAGCCTGTGAGAAGAAACTGCCATTCAAGTTGCCCCATAGATTCAAGGACAAGAAGCTGCTGCAAACAGGTGCACACAAAAATCTAAAGCACAATGCAGAGTATTAGTGTACAAATGATATGAAGAAAACCACAAATCTAAGCTTGAAATAAGAAATTGGCTCATAATTTTACATTGTAAAGAAGAAAGGAACAGATTTTTTAATTAATCAGAACATGCATGAATAACCAAATGAAGCAGGAGAGAGAACAATTAACGAAAAAATAAGAGTTACATCCAGCTTACAGAAATGAAAAAACAGTATCATCAAAAAAAAAAAAAAAAGAAGAGAAAAGATCAGAAAATCTGTCCCTAAAAAGATCAGTTTAAGTGGATAGATATCTTTTGCCAAGACACTTTGACAAAACAGAAGAACGGAGAGCGAACAGAGAAAATATTTTGCACCACAGTTTTTGAAACCTGAGTTATAATCACCTTCTTACCTGGTTCTGTATGATGTCCATGCTTTGATCACCTTCTGGTTCCCCACTGGCATCTTCACTAAGCATTTCATCCGCCTTTTCTATAATATCTCGCACCTGCTCAACGAACGAATCTCTTTCTGTAGCCAAGATGAATTCATTTTGCACCTGCATGCAAGATTAGAATTATAACTACAGACTTGTCATTCACTGGGGGTAGGTAGTAATGATTCCCTAAAAAGCCAGCTATACAGAAGTATAACAGCTACATTCGCAGCACTCTTTCCTCTAAAATGAAATGAAATGAAATGAGAGTGAGGGAGGGAGGGAGGAAGTTCAAATCAACACACACTAAGCTGAACTGGGGCTGTAACCAACTCAACCATGTTCTGTCTTTAGGACAAAATACTTATGCACTACTTTTTTTACATTGTATAGCAAGAGAGAAATGAGCAATTTGAACAGATGGTAGGTGTCTATTTGCAATTATTGAGGAGTTTCAAGGGTCTTCCGTTATATTATTAGCTGGACTTTGCATACCCAAACATACAGCGGTTATAGGAAAAAGTCCCTGTCACCAAATTCAAAGAGGTACAATTTCCCTTCTAGGGAATATGCATTCACTTAACAGGCTAGCTGCTTGTCTCTTCTGGCTTATGAATGTAAAACAGTTTAACAAGTGTTTGAAAAGAAAAGGTAGGATAAGTTGATCCCTCCCTCCAGCAACTTGATTTAAGCCTTTCAAGTGTTCCCCTTAAAAGGTTGTCCTAAAATTAATTTTAAAAACACCAACTTTTGTAATTTCTAAACTGCTTATTATGGCAGACTCAATGGAAATATTCCAAAGGGAAACTTCTGAAGAGAGCAGTTCAAATAGGCCAACCTACTAAAGCTAGTATTATTAACACAAACATTTCTACCTAAACTGCTTACCATGATAGAAGCTATTTCCTCTGGATTGTCGCCATCCAAGTCAAATTTGAAAGTAACCATTTTTCTATTATGTGTCTCTAGCTGGCATTCTACAACCCGATCTCCTTTGTTTGAAACCTGGAACACAGAATTCTGATATTCAAAATGAAAAGTAAACAGAGGGAAAGAACATCAGTTGGAAAAAGTCTGGTAAGCAGTATGAGAAGGGAAAACACAAAGTACAAAGTATCTAGAACATTCTTCTAGTTCCCAAGTCTATCAAGCACTCCTTTAGGAGCTTTCAATGCCTTTTCCCCCACAACCAAAAAGGGAATGAAAACAGGTTAAAAGAAAAGGAGAAATTCAGAATTTTTTCTTCCAAATGAAATTTCATACTTATTTCTCGCTCTCATACATACTCACACATTCCAGTGCCTTATTAATTTGAAAAATGAAAGCTTGATACTGACAGGGTACACACACAGCAAAAGAAAAAGTTGCTTGGAACAAAGTCAGTCAACAGTGATCTAAGTCAGTATTATGAAAGACACAGGTTGCATGGGCAACAATTTGTCAAAAGACAAGGTAGTGACCAAATTCAGAGCCAAACTATGAGTGGAAGCTATCATAAGGATGAATGTGAACAAAACTCTGGCTTCTTCATCCTCTACTTTTATGAGCAAAGAGCAATCAAAGCTTCTGCTACTATTCAGCAACAAATGATTACCCACAAATCAGGATAGCATGCCACTAGAACTGGAAGTTTAGTAGCTCCTTCCCTTACATACAGGGTAGGTCATGTAAGGCCAAGATTGTAACTCCTCATCTTTAGTATTTCTTTATTATTATTATTATTATACCTCCCAACAGCCAGAGCTCTGCAGGCAGTTTACAACAGCAGATAAAATATAATGAAATACAATACAAAATGCAACAAAAACCATCAAAAGAATAGTGCCGAATTTTAAATCATGTTTGAAAAGCTACAATAGCTTTAATTAAGTCACAAGATCTGTTAAAGGCAAGTCTGGAATGTGAACATAGAGGGCTATCACCTTTTCAGAAAGGACAGGAAGGGAAAGAGGGGTGGGGATGTGGATTTATATGTCAGGGAAGGGATAGGACGCAGTGAGATAGAATGCAGCACAGATGGGGATTCGGTATAGGCAGTCTGGGTGAAACTTAGGGGTTTTGACAGGGAAAGAGACCTGACAGTGGGGGTATGTTATCGCCTTCCAGGTCAACTTGAGACCCTGGATGATGGCCTGACAGACCAAATTCTAAGAATATCTCAGGGGAGAGACACAGTAATTATGGGAGATTTCAGTCTCCTGGATATTACATGGGAGACTCACTCAGCGGTGACAGCCAGGTCACAACGCTTCCTAGAAGCTATAGACGGAGGGTTTTTCACACAGAGGGTCCGAGAGGCGACGAGGGGGGGAAACATCCTTGACTTGGTCTTGACCAATAGATAGGAGCTGATAGATGAAGTACAGATTAGGGGAGCTCTGGATGCAAGTGACCACTCCATCCTTTGCTTTGAGATCAGGGGACGTGCAGCAGGTCGAGCAGTAGAAGCTGGGACTTCAAGAGGGTCAACTTTGGCCAACTAAAGGCCAGACTGGGGAAAGTCTCCTGGGATAGGTTACTGGAAGGTAAGCGAGCTAAGGAGGGGTGGATGGCACTCAAAAGGGAGGTTTTGGAGGCGCAAGCCTTGACAATACCTCTAGTTAGTAAAGTGGGGAGGTGGAGGAGAGCGCCGTCATGGATGTGAAAGGAGGTGGTTAGAGGGATTAGACAAAAGAGGAATCTCCTTAGGAAATGGGTACTGGGGCAAATAGACAAAAGGGTATACCAGGAGGAGGAGGCCCGTTGCAGAAGGATTCTTCGCAAAGCTAAAGCTGATTACGAGCTGAGACTTGCCAAGAATATCAAGAAAAACAAAAAGGACTTCTTTCAGCATGTAAATAGGAAGAGGAAGGGGAGACAAGTGGTGGGACCACTAAATAAGGAGGAAGGAGATCCAGTGAGTGATATGAGGGAACAGGCACAATGCTAAATGATTATTTTGCCTCTGTGTTCTCCCCAAAAGCAGGATGGGGGAGATCTGTATAGGAGATTAGATGAGGCCGGGGACTTCGGGGCACAGATTAGACTCACCCCCCTTCAAGTCGAGGGGTTCCTCAGGGAATTGGGCATTACAAAGGCTCCAGGCCCTGATGGAGAGTACACCCGAGAGTACTTAGAGAGTTGGCAGGGGTTCTCTCACGCCCGCTGGCCTCCATTTTTGAGGCCTCGTGGAGAACGGGTGAAGTTCCAGAGGACTGGAGGGTGGCATCAGTGGTCCCATTTTTCAAAAAGGGTAGTAGAAGGGACATGGGGAATTACAGACCTGTTAGCCTTACGTCCATTGTAGGAAAAACAATGGAAAGGCTCATAATAGAGAGATCTAGCGATGCTAGATAGGGAAGGGAGGCTGACAGCTACACAACATGGCTTCCGCAAAAACAGGTCCTGCCAAACAAACCTTGTGGAATTCTATGACAAGGTTTCGAGATGGCTAGATGGAGGGGATGCAGTGGATGTGGTATACTTGGATTTCAGCAAGGCCTTTGACAAAGTGCCCCATGATATCCTGGTGGAGAAACTGAGGAGTTTTGGGATACACCAAAGCACTGTCTGGTGGATTACGGCATGGCTGACTGACCGAAAGCAGAGACTGACCAAAGCAATGATTAGTGGGGAATCATTGGGATGGCGGCCAGTGACAAGCGGGGTCCCCCAGGGCTCTGTCCTGGGGCCGATCCTGTTTAATCTTTTCATAAATGACATGGAAGAAGGGGTGAACAGTCTGCTGATCAAATTTGCAGACAACACTAAAACTGGAGCAGTGGCCACAACTGAGGAGCAGGTACACCAGATCCAAACGGATCTGGACAGACGATGGAAGTGGGCAGGAGACAACAGGATGGTGTTCAATGTGGATAAGTGCAAGGTCTTGCACTTGGGGCATAGGAATAGGTGTCATAAGTACAGGTTAGGTGACAAGTGGCTGGAGAACAGCACTTGTGAAAGGGACCTCGGGGTGCTGGTTGACTGCAGGCTAAACATGAGTCAGCAGTATGATGTGGTGGTCAAGAGGGCAAACGCCACCCTTGGTTGCATAGCCAGAACTGTAGCTTCTAGATCAAGAGAGGTATTACTACCACTCTATACGACCCTGGTGCACCCACAACTGGAGTATTGTGCTCAGTTTTGGGCCCCTCATTACAGAAAGGATATAGCCAGGTTGGAGTCAGTACAGCGTAGGGCCACAAGGTTGGTGGCCGGTTTGCAAGGGATGGGGTACCAGGTGAGACTCAGGGAACTAGGTCTCTTCAGCCTGGAGAAGAGGAGACTCAGAGGGGATATGTTGACAACATACAGGTATGTGAGGGGATGTCACATGGAGATGGGTAGAGACCTGTTCTCCCCTGTAGAGGAAGGCAAGACACGCTCCAACGGAGCAAAGCTCAGGGAGCCAAGGTTTCGTTTGGATGCCAGGAAGCACTTCCTGACAGTTAGGACCCTAAGGGTGTGGAATGGGCTTCCATGAGAGGTCGTTGAGGCCCCATCGGTGAGGGTGTTCAAGGATAGGCTGGACATGCACATGGTGGGCATGTCGTGAGCAGAGCCGGCTACTGCCGGGGGTCACACTAGATGGCCCAGGAGGCCCCTTCTGACTCGCTCTGTTTCTGTTTCTATGTTAAGCAGTTTACATAATGCCCCAATATAACAGAAAACCAATTAAATAACTGTCATAGCATATAGGCTTCACCTAGTGCTGAAAATATATCAAAGTTGGTGCCAGGAAGACCTCCGTGTGGAGTCTATTCCAGAACTGTGGGGGGAATGCCACTAAAAAGTCCCTTCTTATAGCCACCAACTGAGAGTTCCAGCAGTGTGTGCAAATACTGAGGTGGGCTTCTGGTTCTAGCCATAAATTGGAGCCCCAGAGCATCCCAGATCCTGACACAGTTAAAATGATCCACGGTTTAGGGTGTGGATTATAACCCAGCTACAATTAACACCTGAGAAAAGATGTTGGACTGTGGCAATTTCTAATCTAATCATGTTATACTCCATGGCCCATTATTGTGGATCTTATAACAGGGTGGTTAAAAAAAATAAGTTAAAGTAAATATTTTATAGGGGATTATACAGCAACACAATAAGGCTTTACTTTATTGATATTTTATGTTTCTTTTTTATCCCTAACTTTAACATCATTTTAATGTCAAGTCAGAAATTGTAGTATTTAATATATTTAAATCCCATGTTGTTTATGGCGATGGCCAAGTGACTTCAGTACTTCTGTTTTTATGCATGACTGTGACTGTAATAAAGAATTTTAATTTAAATAATGACATAAATAATAGTTAAATTATTAGCTGAAACAAGTCAGATTGATGAACTATGGATTGAAGTTAGCTTATTTCAACTCTAATTAAGATTAACCTCTTTTGTCCAGAGGTTGGATGATACAAGCAAATGGCAATTTATCTAAATGCTTAATCTGAAAGAGAACTGTAAATTTTCAAACTCCTCCTTGTGAACACAACAGGGAAAGATAGGAGCTCCCATAAGCTTCACTGGAGGGGTAATGAGTGGGATACGGCAGGACTCAATCCTGTGTTCAGCACTCTTCAATGTTTTTATTAATGACTTGGATGAAGAAGTACAGGGAGTGCTGTTCACATCTGCAGATAACACAAAATTAGATGGGATAGTTAATATCCTGGAAGATAGAAATAAAATTCAAAGGGATCTTGATAAGCTGGAGTGCTAGCATCTCTAACGAAATTCAGTAGGAGAAATGCCAAGTTCTGTACCTAGAAAAAGGAAACCAAATGCACAATTACAAGATGGAAGATACTTGGCTCAATAATACTACAAGTGAGAAGGATTGTGGAGTTGTAGATCATAGGCTGAATATGAGTCAACCATGTGCTACAGCTGCAAAATAAGTTTAATGCTATACTGGGTTACATTAAGAGTATAGCTTCTAAATGATGTGAGGTTCAGCACTAGCTAGGCCCCACCTTGAGTACTGTGTCCAGTTCTGGTTGTGGGCACCACACTTCAAGAAAGATGCTGACAAATTGGAAATAAGTTCAGAAAAAAGCAACAAAGATGATCAGGGGACTGGAAACAAAGCTCTGAGGAAAGACTGAAAGAGAGAGGCATGTTTAGCTTTGGAAGAAAAGACTGATGAAAGATATGATAGTACTTTTCAAATGCTCGGAAGACTGTAGAACAGAGGGTAACCAGGATTTCTTTTCAATTATCCCAGAGTACAGGGCACAGAATAATGGGTTTACATTACAGAAAGTCAGATTTCAACAAAACATCACAAAAAAAAATCCTGACTGTTAGAGCAGTATAGTGATGGAGCCAATTACCTAGGAAGGTTGTGGGCTCTGGAGGCACTCAAGAGGCAGCTGGACAGCTGTGAGGGTTGCCTTAACCTGGTATCCTGCATTGAGCAGGGAGTTGGACTTGATGGCCTTAAAGGACTCTTCCAACTCTACTATTCTATGACTCATTTGTGTAATGTTAAACTATTTCATGACCATGTATTAAAGACTGTTTTAATTACAGCATCTCCAAATTAAGTAACTTACATTAAGAATTCTCAGTTTTGGACGTGTAGTCTTCTCATGACGAGAACGGCTGCGCACTGACTTCCGATAATGCCTTTTCGTAGTCCTTCCTTCATGTCTGCCACTAGATGCTGGAACACTCTCATTGCAGTCACTTAAACCTGAAGCAACATCTGAATGTGCACTAAAAAGCAAGTGGCTAAAATCAATAATACTTTCTATATACCCAGTAAAAATTAATTTCACTTCTATTAGGACTGTTAACAGTACCATGAGTGAACAGCATGTGAGAAAATTTCACCATCACAAGTTCACATGCCTAGTCTAGTTTAATATAGTATTTCTATACTGCTAAAACTCTCTGGAAAGTTGTAGTTATAAAATAAAATACTGTACTGTAATAAACTGTAAAATCACCATCACAGAAATTTAGAAACCCAATTTAAAAAAAACCCCTAAAGCAGGATAACATAACTAGTCCTGTTGAAACTGCTGGCATATCCCCTCCACCCCATCCATATTCTTTTGTAAATCTCTCAGCATAGGCGGTGACCTAAACCTGGTGCCACAAGAATAGTAGAGTTGGTGGCAGGCAGGCAGCAGTGGAGAGATGACTCCATAATCAGGGGCTTCCTTGCTGCTACTAAACAAGCATTCCTTGGAGGTCCACTAAGATGTCTCAGGTATTGATCATACTGGCACTCGGGAGAGGCGTTCTATCAGGTATCATGGTTCCAAGCTATATAGGGCTTTATAAGTTAAGGCCAGCACTTTGAATCAATCTCAGAAGCATATAGGCAGCCAATTCAAGCAGGTCAGAATTGGTGTTATGTGTTTAACCCTCCTGGTCCCTGGTCTGGCTGCCTTGTTTTGCACAGGCTGCAGTTTCTGAACAGTTGTCAAGACAGCACCACATAAAGTGCATTGCAGTAGTCTAACTTAAAGATGCCCAGAGTGTAGATTACTGAACCTAGACTATCCCTTTATTTTATTTGTTAGATTTCCCCCCACCCCACTTTTTTCATTCAAACTCAAAAGCAGCTCGCAACCTTATCCCCACAAGGTAGGTTGGGGTGACAGTCTGTGACTGGCCCAATGCCACCCAGTTGGCTCCATGGCTGAGTAGAGACTAGAACCCAGTTGCTCGAGTTCCAGTTCCGCACTCTTAACCATTATACCACTCTGGCTCTCAAATAGGAGCATAGCTGGGACACCAATTAAAGCCAGTAAAAGGTATCTATCATTATTCTCTGCCACTGAGGCCACCTCAGTCTCAAGTGACAAAGTACCCCCAGTGATTCTGATCCTTCAAGGGCAGTACAACCCCTTCCAGAAATAGGTTAAAGTCCCTCCATATGCATAGAAGAACCTCCCACCAATAGCATCTCAGTTTTGTCTGGACTGATCTTCACTTCGTTAGCTCTCCTCCAGCCCATTGTTGTAACCAGGCACTACTTTAGCACATCTAGAACCTCACCTGCTGAAGATGAAAAGGAGAACTAGAGCTGTGTATCATTTGCAAACTGAGGACGTTACATTCCAAAACTCTGGATGACTGCACTCCGCAGTTTCATAGAGATTTTAAATTAGCATGGGGGATTAGACCAAGCTCTGAGAAACCTCATACTGGACAGTCCTATATCCCCCAAGCAGTACCTCCTAGAGACAGCCATCCAAGTAGTAGTGGAACCAGTGCAATACCATAACTGCTACTCCCAACTTAGCCAGCTGTCCCAGAAGGATACCATGGACTATTCTACCCAAAGCTATTCAGAGACCCAAGAGTACCAACAGAGAGCCACACCTACTGTTCTTCTTTTGGTATGGGATCCTGATCCCTGATCACTAAAATCTCTATCAGATTATATTCTGAAGCTACTAAATAACAATCTTGAATGAGAGAGAGATTAACAAGATTCATTCTTCTGCTAACACATATCAAGATTCAAATGCAATAATTTGCTATTTACCTATCTATTGATGAAACCAGTGGAGTTGATTGTGAAGGCTGCTGCTGTATTGGGGGTTGAGGCTCTGTAGGTAACATCTGAGTTACTGTAGAAGTACTCTGCAAAGACAAAAGCTTTCCCTTCAAGCATCTTATTACGGAGCTCTTTGTGTAATCTCATCTCAAAATCCATCCATCTATTTAACTAGAAGCTGGAAAGCACTCTCTTACTAGATAATTTAAAAGCATCTAATATTTTCAAATTTTTAACCCACAAAGAGGTTATCGTGCAAATTTGAAAAGTCAACCATATTATCACTAGCTGAATGTGGCACTACAGCTTGCCATGCAAGCAGAAATCTTACTAGCAGAATGTGCAACAGAGAAGCCAATGCAGAGTGCAAAGACCATTCAAATCTCTCCCAGCAACAGCTGGGCTGCAGGGAACAGGTTTGGGGAGAGATTTTTTCAGTGACTACTGAGAGTGGCATATCTTCAGTAAAGGAATTGGGATTACTAGCCAGAAGAGAAATGCTAGCAAGTATTTTGCATCTGGCAGGCCCACTCACTTCCCAACAGCACAGCCAGGGGCAACAAGGTCTCCACATTGGCATCACATTCTGCTGTAAGAGAAAGTCATTTTAAGGATTAGCATATGATTTTAACGATTTCAAAAGTGGCAGTGGATTCAGAACTCATGCCCTGAAATTCAGTAGTGGAACACACGCACACAGCAACATGCAGAGTCCATTTACCTCTAATGCTGTCTGCTGCGAGGATGCAGATGGAACCTGCTGTGCTAAACAGGAAGCAGGCTGTTGTACTTGAACCTGTCCTCCTAGACCGCCCAAAGAAACTAAAACATTCTGCTCCACATAAGGCTGCAACCTTGCAGCAAGATAGCCTGGCTGAGTCAATGCATCTGAGGGCAAGGGAGGGGATAGTACTGCAGAAGGGAGACAAGCAGAGGCCACAGAAGAGGAAACAATATTTGGGTCTCCAGTATATTGTGCTGGTAGCCGAGGTGAGAAGCCCTGCGACAAATGAGGAAGCGAAGTTAGCTTATTTTAGGACAACTGGAGGAAAATAGTACAAAACAGATGGGGAAGGGAAAATTGCAAGCCAAGCAGTAAAGAATTTCCCCCCAACTTGAGCTACGTATACTTATTTCAGTACTTCCAGAGAACAATACTTTTGGGCCAACTTTACTTCCAAAGCTATCATGTAGTCTAGAGCAGCAATGTACCACACAGCTAAAATTAGGGTGGACTGAAGTTATTTGTGTAGCAAACAAGTATGGAATTTGTATACAGTACAAGGTCTCCTTACTAGTTAAGTCTGGAAAAAAAAAACCCTGCTAGATAAACAGGTACCACTGAGGCCAGAGCAAAAAGGCTCCTTTCCACCTAATGCCCACCTGCTATTTCTCTTTTCCAGGTGAAATGTATGGAATTCAGAAGTACCATGGCACACAGAAAGCAAACACATTTTTCAATTCAAAGAATTTATGTTGCACTGACAATCACATTGTGAAGTACAGTGACTAGTTCTACAAAATGAAAGAATTTTACTTCTTTTGTTGTGGTTTGCATTGTATTCCAACTAAAACTTTACCTTCTAACAGTTAAAATTGAAATATGACTAGCCAACCTTTCAAAATTTAATTATGGAGACCTGGAGATCTCATCACTTGCTGTGATGAAACACTTGCTTAATATTGTCCTTACATACAAGTATGAATTAGTATTTGGAGACCCAGCATAACTGCTATAGTATTCTGTTCTGGCAGTCTCCAGAATGCTAGAAATTATACTTTAATTAACAGCATCTCTGACAAAAAGAAACAATTACTAGTCAAATGTTCCATTTAAAATCTGGACTTTCCCTTGTATACTGAAAGCCCATCTATCTGGCCTATTTGTTCTCCTTTGAAATAGTCTGAAAATAACTGAGCTCAGGACTGTTAGCAGGTGAAATTGCAGTGGGGGACTCTTTCTTATCTGCCACAATACCTGGTACAGAGCATCTGTAGCTGGAAGTGGTACTTCAGCAGTTTGTCCCAGAGTAGCTGACAATCCCATGGACTGAACAGTTGGCTGCAGAAGCTGTGGGACCACCTGGCTGGACAGCTGAGCCACAGGCTGCAGGAGAGTTGGAAGCTGGCTAGGGACAACAGTTGAGCCCGCAGGAATAGCAGCTGCTGCAGCAGATGTAGCCAAAGTAAGCAATGGCTGGTTAAGGCCAGCTGCCATAGAGATGGGTAGAGATGGGAAGCAAGGCTGAGCCACCGACACATGAGGTGTTGCTATGGGCATCTGAGAGACTGAGAACTGTGGAAGAAGGGGAGCTTGTAGGGGCTGTCCCAAAGGGAGAAAATGAGAGCCAACGGGCATGACTGGGGCTATTGAAGGCTGAGGAAGGGAAGGTGCTGCCATAGGTAACTGTGGTTCCCCTTGGATGATCGGCACTGGTTGGGAAACAGGAAGCTGGGGAGGTAAAGAAAAATAGATAGACTTTTAGGAAGCAGGGTTGCAGGAAGCAGGCTTTTTAATGCATTAGTACAAGTAAGAAAAAAAAGTTTATATCACATTTAACTGAAGTTGATAAGAAGTATGTTTGGCAGAGTGGCTGAGAAGGCTGCTGTTATCCAGTTACATAGTTATCTACATACAGATAGATACATGCCATATCTTTTTTACATTTGGGATGCTCAATATCAGAGGTGAATCAAGATGATCAAAACGTTGCACATTAGCATGCCATCAGTTTATACAGAAAATCATTTTGGAGAAGGATGACTGTTCCTTTTTTCATACAATCAGGAAGAGCACCAAGCATCTAATAATATATTATCTGCTTATTTGGGGACAAGAACCTAATGTAACAGAGACATAAAAGCCACTTAGCCAGCATATAGAGAAAAGGCCCAAGTGAGTGCTATAAAGCAGAACAAGAAATGCAACAGGAAATTTTTTAGAAGACTTCAACAAAATTGCCATTACAGTTAGTAATTCCCAGGTTCATAAGCTCACAACATGACACACATAGGGCAAATCTGGAGTCAGCAAAATGCCTCTGGGCAAAGAAGCAAAGCAAAAAGTTGCACAGAAAAGACCAAGATCATACTGATGAATACTCAGGATTCAGATAATAAGCCAATGACTCCAGTTAAATTGTTCAGATATCAAATGTACTTTACCTTTTTTTCAGAAACAGACGTATTACAATGTTTTAGACCAGTGTGGGCTACCTCTGGCCTACCTGGGCGGGAGTTGGATGAGCTAAAACGTCCATTATCTATCATCATTGGCTATGGCTGATGGGAGCTATAGGGCAAAACAGCTGGAGAACAGCAGGTTGCCCACCCATTTTAGACCATGACAAAACACAATGCAAGCAAGTCTTCCCATACCCTCTTTATGCAATCTAAATGAAGGAGGGCTTAGTTTCCAGCAGTCAATAAAAATCAGACAGAAGATCTCTAGGAGACAGCAAGTTGTAGTTTACCTGTGATCCAGCTGCCACCTGAGGCATAGGCATTATTTGTGCTTGTTGCGTAACAGGCTGCAATGGGGCAGTGCCACTGGAAACTGAAGGCTGCTGAACTTGGTATTGCCCAGTCTGCTGAGAGGAAGCTGGCTGTTGTGTACCCTGCATAGGGGAAACAGATTTTTTTTTCTGGTCAAAGCACTATGTATCCAGAATCACTGTGTAATTTTCTATCCTATTTAAAGAATGCCTGTATTCTTTGTGCATATATATTGTGGTGTACATGTATAGTCACACATGTTTTGCTTTAGAAAACTATTTGCCAATACTCAAATAGGTTTAACATCCACTGTGATATTTCCTGAAATTTAACTTAAGATAAGCACAGCCTACTGCAAGTGCAAAGTTTGTATATATCCACCCATACAGAGTTAACATTGTATGAGAATGGAGGCAACCTCCAGATTTTGACAGAATTCCCATCAGCATGAATAACAGAAATGGGTGATGGGAGTTGTAGTCCAGGGGATACATTACCCACCTGCATCTGTCAGGGAACAAGTTACCCACTCCTCTGCAGAAAAAAGCAACTGCTATTCAGATAAAACCTTGGCTTAGCTGTTACTGTTCTTGGTCCAAAAAACCATGGTTTGATGGAGCAAGAATAAGTGAAAAGTCCAAGTATTTCTTTCCCAAGTCTCCACCATATATGCTCAGCTTCAAACAGTTTTCTTAGTTCATTTAATGGCAGTCTCCTGCTTAAATTCAAATCAGAATCTCTGATTTATGGACTCCCTACAAACCTGGATCAAAACATGACATGCAATCCAAGTTCATAGGAAACAAGTGGCTCACAGTTTTCATGCTTGGGCATCACAGGAAACTATGGCCTCCCATGTGGGCAAGTTTTTCTGAAATCAAGTGTTCAGGGAAAAGGAGGGACAGCTCAAGCTGGGTCACTTGTTCTTGCTTCGAATCCATGGAACAAAGATAGTGTGCAAAACCATGTTCTTTCAGAAAAGTTGTATGTAAATGTCAAAGACTTCATTTACACATGCAAGAAGAAGACTAACTGTAATACAGTTTCTACAGTTAATTATTTTGAACACATTGCCAGGGCTGAGTAGGAGAAATATACAGCATAACGTAAAGCTAAAAGAATTATCAACACTTACATCATATGAGTAAGAAAGCAGTTAACTAGAAAATAAAGGAAGTTCACTCAAGAATCGAGGGGAAAATGTGTAAAAAATACTGTGTGCTTGTTATGCCACTGACAACTTAACTTCATTATATATTGTTTTAACCATGATGCATGCTGTCAGAAGTGCCATGTTGGATGTCGTGAGTCAGAACATTTGGCTCGCCATTACCTGCTGACTTTGCTGCATAAGCTGGGATGATGTGCCCACTGACGAACCACTTGAGGTTGGCTGCCCTTGCATCTGTGTGTAAAGAAGCAGACACAGATACAATCAAATCATTTACCAACTACTGTACTCAATAAGCCTGAGAATGAGAATGACTTATAGCAACCATTTCCAGTGACTTGACACTGTATTTGATATGAATATTCCACACTGTCAGCACTGCAAGAATGCAATGCATGGTTTTTGAACATTTTCCTAATTGGTCAGTATTAGACATGTGTGTACGTCTAATTTCTACATGATACATTTCTGTTCCACTATTTCTGTCCCAGTTTCTTGAACATCTGCATCAAACTATACTACTGCAAGTGGAGGCAAAATGCCGAGCTATAGTTAGATTTACTGAAGTCATTCAGCAAAGGGGAGACCAGAGAAGGCCAACTTATTAATAAAAATCTGTACTTCCTAGCAAAATCAAAGTAAATTCCTATTGAGATCTCTCAGAAATATACCGAATGACTTGCTTAGACTCCTGCTAAACAAAAACTTCTCCAGGCTGCCAGAAGGACCAGTTTGATTCTGAGAAAAAGCATACAAAGCCAAAATGGTTTGCAAATGGTTTGCTATCCTCCCATTCTGAATCAGAAATTAAGGCACTAACATGAAATAAATGGATGGGAAAATCAAATTGGAATGGCAATGACTATCAGAGTCATTTCCATCATAGTGAAATGTGCTTCATGTACAGGACTTTATCTCAGTGTATAATGGGAAATGATATGTACAAAGAAGAAAAATCAAAGTTAATGCTTGTATCACCACAGTGACAAGGTTGAATAAGGTAGCTTATAATTTGTACAGCTAAACAAACAGGAAGAAAAATTAGTGTGTGGATGGTTTTTTTTATTTTTTAGCAAGGTAAAAGAGGATTTCCTTTAGCTGAGCTGAAAGTGAATCCAAGGTATAGGACTATTATTAAACAAGCATTTTATATACACAAATTCACAGATAGAAGGAAATATAAGGCAGAGTTCTGCTCATCCTGACAGGGAAAAACTATTTCTTAAAATGATGTTCAAAATACATCCTTAGAGCTATAGAACCACTAGTGTTCCTAGTAGAATCTACTTCGCTCTTGCTTACATTCAAGATACCTTTTGTAAATATTTTTCCATTTGTACTGCTTTCTCCAATTTAGAATTACCACAAGGAAACTTGAAGTGCAACAAACCTAGGCTTCAGTTATCTGGTCCAGAGAGTCTACTAAGACCAAATAAAACAGTAACAAGGAAGGAATGCAAGTAGAAGAATATGTCTGTCCTTGTTATTAAAATACTACTTTCAGTTAATAGTGGGATTGTGTTTTTAGGAAAACATTTAAAGTGCTCCATATACATATTTTCATTAATCCTTACACCAGCCTTGTAAAGTTGGGCAAGATTACCCTTCTTATATTTCAGATGGGGGGCTGAGAGCAAGAGTTGCCTAGGGGCACCTAGTGAGTTGACAGCTGAGTCAATATTTGAACAAGAGTCTTTCTAACACCTATTCTATTCCACCAGTATGTCAATATCTGTGTTACAAGATGTATATCATTTTTTTCCAAAATGTATATAAAATGTTTAAATTTGGTCATAATCCAGCCCAGTCTTTAAAGGGATAGTATGACATTATTTGCTTTCCTTTATATTATACTATCCAATACCCATTTCACAACAGATAACAATCAACTTCACAGATCCCAAAACATGCAACTGGGCTATTGCCATGAGGTACTGGAAACTATGGTTTAACCAGCTCAATTGTGGTACTAAATTAAAGCCAGTGAAAAGCATTTTTTAAAATAGATTATTTGATTCAGTGTTTCCATGCTGGAGATGATAGTGCCAAGTTGGGGGAGTTTGTTGTATGCATGTTTATTTCCTGGGAACTTTTCTGGTGAGGAATTTTTTAAAATGATCTTTTCATGCTTCTTGCTTCAAAACAAGATACTTCTAGCACCTTAATTTGGGAGATTGTATTAACTTTAATGGAACATAATTGTACTATGTTTATGACACTAGCACTGGTCAGCCTCTAAGTCTGTGCAAACTTTTCCAAAGACCTGAGATTAATACAGTGTTCCTTATGACACAAATTGATACATTTTGCCCCACCAGTCTTCTTTGCATTGTTTTGCATGTTTTTGAAAAGCTTTCATGTCTCACTGACCCATTTGACCAGAAAAAGTTTTGATAAAGGATCATTTTACCAAAGGAGAGGGAAGAAAGAGGAAAATAGGCCAAATTCTCATAATGTATTGCCATCACTGCTCACACATACCTATTGACAATTAGTGGCAGAGATGTAATTTGCTAGAAACATTGAGACCATGAGTGGAGAGATTTTTACTTGAAAGGCTGGAAATATGAGTGTGGGGCACATTGGAAGCATATGCTGTGTTTACTTTCTTATCAAGCCTGAACTTATTTTATTGCTTTTATTATTTTATTTATAACTTAGCATATAAAATTCTAGTATTTGCTTATTTATGACATTTACAAAGCAATTCTATGTATGTTTATTGAAAAGGCAACCCCACTGTTGCACACTGTTCCACCTTACAGTGGCATCCTGTATTGCCTAAGCACATATATCTATTTTTTCTTATCTGAAAAGTGGGGGGGGGAGGTGTTAAAAATAGAAACCACATTTTTTGTAGTAATCAGTGGAAAGTATTATTTGTACAGAAAATCTATAGTCAGCTTGTTAATACCTAGAAGCATGGATATTGAGTTAAACTTTACAACTATACTGAAAATATTTTAGGGTGCAATCTTATCCATGTTTAGACAAGTCATTATTGCTCTTACGTATCTAAATTATTCACAGGACATATTCTATAATGCTGAAGATTATTTTACTCAAAATGTATATAGAAAAATGTTCATGTAAATAGAAATTTGTCTTATATAGCATTTTATTCATCTCAAAAAGAAAATTATTTCAGAAGAGTCGTCATCGTCCCCCCCCCCCCACAAATTTCCCCCAAAATACCTGTTTTTCATTAGAAAATATGTTAAAAGACCTTCGGGCAAAAAACAGGGGAAAGCATTTTTCCCTTGGACATTTATACTGCTAATGTAATGTGGGATACATGGCAGCACTGAGGAAAGTAAGTTGGCTAGAAATTGCCCGTTGTTAGCTTCTACCGCAGCGAGATATAAAAGAACATAAGTCTATATACACTGGGGAGCAGCTGCATACTCTACAATTCTAGTCATCTATATACAACATGAAGTTTCTATCCCACATGTTAACAAGGGACATATTAAATGCTGTTGCTTCTGCAAATGTGTGTATATAGCCATACCTAAAGTACTACTCTGATTAATGTTTCAAAGTGGTATTGCTTCAGTCTACTAACAACTTCAGGCTGTGAAAGCAGTCTGAATTTCACTTACCTAAATATCCAAAGTGAGCATCAGTTAATTAAAAAGAAAGTTTTTCAATATTGTTTAAGTAGTACCATTTGTTACCACATTGAACAGTCCCACATGACAAAGTTTTGCCATCCATCCACACACTTTACATATATTGGTCCAAAGGCACTTCTAATAAGGTAGGATCAGAATAGTTTCAACAGCTAACACATTTCTGGGAACACAGAATTCCAAACTCTAATGTTGGAATAACTTGGGGGCAGGGAGCTTAGGGAAAGGTCTGAACAAAATAAGGAATATAAGGAGCCTTGTACTATGCTACCCAGGAAAAACTAAAAATCGAAGATATTGGGAAAGTATTTGTTCCTGTAACCTGAGGATAGTGTGCAGATGATCCTGATGAAACCAGTGCCGAAAATGCCTGTTGAGATGAAGTTCCCTGAGGGAAATGGAAGACCACCTGCGAGTCTGGAAATACCTTCTGAGCCAGCTGAGGTGCAGAGAGAGACAAGTCTAAACCATACGATGTAGATGCCCCACTGGGAGGGGGAGACAGAAAATCACCAGTGTCTGAGGAAGTCAATTGTGATGAGTCACTGGAGTATCCTGGGCTACCTTCTGTCCAGCTCTGAAGAACAGAACTGCCTCTAGGCAACATGAACTCAGGACCCAGATAGTTACACTGCTCCTCTGTTACAGGCTGAAGGCGACCAGGCTGTAGAGTTGTTTGAGGGGATTCTTCCTGATTAAAATCTGTGGAGCCTCGACGATTTCTATAAGCCCGCTGGGACAGGACTGCACCTTCTCCAGCAGTCACATTAGCTGCTTGAACATGGAACTCAAACACACAACTTGTTCGGCCATCTCCACTGTGAGTGAGTATGGCAGGTGCAGAATGAGGAACAAACACAGGGTGAAAATTCATCTGTGTGGCATCTGCACTTAATGGGGCTGACATGCTAGACAATGGCAACAGTGGATTCATTCCAGAATCCAGCCTCAAATTCTGGATTTGCCTTGCCAGAAAAGTTTGCCCTGTTTGATACTCAAAAGCAGAACTCTGAAGAGGGCCACTTTTCAAATGTCTCTGTTCAGGAGCCTGTAGCAAGTGTTGCTCAGTCCCTTGGGAATTATGGGATACTGTATCATAGTGTTCTGGCAACTGGGACTGGTAGTGCAAGCCCACTAAATACATTGCTTCTTGAGTCAACAGATTTGTAGCATCCTTTGAAGGTGCTTGTCCAGGTCTGTAATCACCCAAAACTTGAGCAGACTCAAACACAGGTTTAGCCTGCAGATGCTCGCCTGTAGATTTATGACCTGTAGCGCTCATTGTCACCAGTGCCTCTGGTGCCCAAGCTGTTGGACTACCACTAGGAAGAAGTAAACTCTGATCAGTCTTGAGCAAGGGCTGGAAGTGGCAAGTTTGGGCTTCAAGGACGGAGGTACTCTTGCGTCGCTGAGAAATGGCCACCCTTGAAGGGCAGATGGGTGGTGGCGAGAAAGACAGTGGCCGTTCATGAACGGTTGGAAAAAATACCTGGGCATCTGGGAATGTTGGGGTTCCCCCACACGGATGCACCATGGATTGAGGCTGTATTGACATGAACAAGACAAGTAATTCACACATTATAGAAGCATATCAGCATGTTCAGCTCAAAAGGCAGCTCTTTAGTAACCTTATAGAATGGCTAAGCCTAGTTCATGGTCAACACACAAAATGCTTTTAATGTTATACATATCCATTAAATACATCCATGGTGGACAGTAGATATTGGTGCCTATAGGAGTATTTGCTTTTGTTAGAAGCTGCTTTTCCTCCCAACAACAATTTGGTTAAGTGACTTTCACTAAAATATGACTACTTTTCAGTACATATGATATTTCTACAATCTAATCTCTGAATATTAGTTGAAGGCTGAAGAAGATACTCTACTCAGAACCTGGGAAGGAACTTTGGATTTTTCAGAAACTTATTGGACTTTCACCGGGGTTTTTAAAAATTGCATTTCCTACAAATAAATAAATCTGTTAAGCATCAAAGAATGAATTCCTTAATTCATTTACAAAGCCTTCCCACAATCAATCATGAATGGGATCAACTATACCTCTCCGATAATGCCCATATGCCCTTCTCCGTGATGTTATGATTCTTTGGGCTTACTCTGTCAAATACTTCATTTATAATTCTGGAAAAGCAGCAGCAAATTCTCGTATGACACAATAGGAGTATAGAATGAAGATTAATCCTGAACATTCTTTGTGAATAGAAGCAAGGTGTTTTTCTGTGCTTTAGGAAACTAACTTGCTCTCCATCTCCAGTGGAATTTCACTTCAATTAAACCATGCGTGAATTAATAGGACAGCCATTATCCTTCCCAAGAGGGAGAAATACAATTACATGAGTTCTAATGCTATCAACTATAATTCACTAAGTCATGGTGTGGTTTACTGCAATCTGGACTGTCATGTCCAAACCATGGTTTGTTGACCTGCTGCAAGCGGTCAAAAAAAAGCCATTATTTGTTGCTGGCTTCCAAAGTCTTGAGATATGTCATGGCCAATACCAACATCTGAACCCAGAAGCTGTACCTGCACCCTGGTTTGTCTGTGCTTTTGTCTGGCCAGAAACAGAAATGTCCAAGAACAGCATCTTGAACAAAATTAAAGTCTGAATGCTGGCAAAATGGACAGGAACAAAACAGAACAGAACAGAAATAATAAATTTGTTCATCTGTAAGTCAATGAGTAGGTATGCATGATATAACAAGCTACACTGTGTAGAAAACACATGGTGTTGGCTTGTTTGCCCTGAGGGTTTTGATATGCCTGCCAAACTACTAAGACACATCATGGCTCTGGAGCCACCTCCTCACTCAGTCCTCCTGCAGGCATCAAGTTTCTCCCCTTCCAGCCACCACTTGACGGTATCAGCAGGAAGAGGGAGGGAACTGGGAGTTCTGCTCCTGTTTGTCATTGCTGCGGGACTGCTTTCACTCAAGCAAGCAAAGACCTCAGTGGGGCCTGAAAGAATAGCATGCAGCAGCATAGCTGGCCACTGCTGATCCTGACACAGAGACTGTAGAGAGGGGGATGCTCTTGCACATTATGGTCTGTTCAAATAGATTCAGGGGGCAGGGGTAGAAGCATAGTTAGGCAGAAGACTTTGCAGCCTCAAGGTTACCTAGTGAGAGACTCAGAGCATGAGAACCATCCTACCTTGGAAAACTGGGATGGGGGAGAGCTAAGGGGAGTTCCTTGACCCTGTCAGGAGATGACAGGCATAACAAGCAGATTAATTAAGAAGTATCCAGCATTCCTGTCATCTAGTCCCCAAGCAGCAAGAGCTGATCAGAGGGTGGGGTCAGAATCTATTCTGAAAGGGTGGGAAGACGGGAGTTTCAGGTTGGATTCAACTGCTCATGTGGACAGATACTTCTCCCACATCTCAAAGAGAATGCATGTTATTTTGATTTATACTGTTTTGTAACTTGTGCTTCTAAAGACTCATATAAGTCTGCCAGAGATGAAAAGAGGGAGGGAGAAACCGGATCACAACAGCTGCATTGCTCAGCAGTACCTCTCTGCCAAGATCAGGCTGCTGGACAACAGGGCAGACACAAGCCATGCTCTGCTTGTAACCATCTAGAGGAGACTGAATAGAGGGCAGCTTTCCTCTCCTCTTCCTGCAAGCCACTACGGTCAGTGGGCAATCGCAGCACCAAGGGCAGGGAGGAAAAACCTGCCTCTGCTCTATCTCCCCTAGAGGAGTACAGTCAGAGTGCAGCTTTCTGTATGCTGCTGCAGCTCCTCCCTTTCAGCTGGCAGTACAAAGAGATTCTTACCACAGGCCATTTGGGAGTTTTGCATGACTGCCAGAGGCATTTGTCCAGAGTTGCTTGGTGAAACTATCAAGTGTTTTTGGCACTCCCTGCAAAGAGGTTGTGTAGGCTTTGGGGCTTCACTTAGGTATATTGCATCATTTGGGGTTCAGACAACAGGCCCAGAGTAGTCACAACACCCTACAACTAGCCACAAAGAAGCCATCCCTCTGGGATGGGGAAAGGTTCAGGCACATATTAAGCCACTGTCATTTCCAAGTCATGGTGTCTTAGCATGCTGTGCAACCCCAGTCAACTCATGGCTACAGCAACAAACCATGGTTAACAAAAACCATGTCTTAGTATTACCTGCAAATACAACTACTGTCATGACAGTAGCCATCTACTTATTTTGTAGAATTAGAAAAAAGCTGCTTCCAAGAGATTAAAATGAAGAATAAATTATCCAAATACATATTATTTTGTAGATTGCTCCATTACTGGCATGGCACATTTACTCATTTCCTCAAAGCTCTGGATGGATTCCCAGTTACTGGAAGAAGGAGTTCAACTTTCCACTAGCACAGGGTAAACACATTCCCCTTTTCCTTCTTATCCAATTCCAATAATGAAACCAGGATGTATTTAGTGGTGACTTATCTTCAACGTGCCAGGAGGCAAACAGTGACATACAGAGTTGACAAAGAGGGCAGGCAGGCTGGAACGCCGATGCTTGCGTTGAGTGGTGGTGTGCATGGGCAGGACACTCTCCAGGGCTTTGGAAAGCTTTTCACCAAAGGTTTCCTCAGGGGCAGTCCAAAGGTAGGAAGGAGAAAGAGGTGCAGAAAATACGGATGGTGGAGTGGAAGGAGCATTGGGAAAGATTTGGGACAGAGGGGGAAAAGAAAGAGGGGAAGCACAAACTGACATGCTACAGCCACGCTGAGGCTAAGGAAGGAAACAAAAAGAAGTGAACACAAATCACATGACTAATGAGCTGGAACTAAGGGGGACACATTCATGACAAAGGGCCAATGCTGATCGTAACACACAGGGTACCAAGGAATTTGATACTGACATCACATACTACAAAGAGGATTATGTGCACCTCAGAGGACTGCAGGATTTTCTTTAAATTTCACTAGTTCAATTTCAGGGGTGTCAAGACTCCTACCATACCAAGTTTATAAAGAGGCTACTTAGCTCCATCAGAATGCACAAAAGTGATTTTCAATACCAAGAAAATTGATGTTTGAAGGGCCTAGAGGTATTCAGAGGGGCATCATATATTCATGCTGGTTTGGAATGGGCAATATGTCAGCTGCACAGAAGTGTTCCTTTCTTTCAAATTTTACTGTAACTGTCTTCAAGTATTTTGCTGAAACACCACAACTTTCTTCCTAAAGTAGGCTGATTTCCTAAATAAGGATTTGACTGGACACCTTTAGTTTTTTATTCAGCTGGGAAATATAAGACATCAAGAATCTTATACATCAACATCTGTGGAACAAGTTAAGAATTTTATCTTAAAGAAAATGGTCACATGTCTTCTATTAGGAGAGAAGTTGTTAGAGAAGATAGTTATTGCAATCTGCCTATAGCACAAAGGTCATTGATTTTTTTATTGAACAAATTAATCCTTAGATATAGATATGCAGATATACAGGAAAATAAAATTAATGTCGTATTTCCTCCAGCAGCCAGGTCCTTTCTTTTGAAATATTTTCTTACAGTTTCTTTAAAAATTATCAGCTTATTTCCAATTCTTCTCTCCCAATGAAATTGCATTCAAAATTGAAACCTGTCGAAAGCTCTGGTTGGAAGTTTTATTGCAAGTCCTCAATTCATCATCCAAACCTGGCTTGCTTAGAAGAACAGTTAGCATATAGAAAGCTTTGGGTGGTAGGTAGTATAGAAATTAAATATCCTCATAATATTAGCCATGGTTATTCAACCTTGAAGCAAGGCATGTGATGATTGCTTAATGGATTATTGATCCAAGCTATGTCCTTCAACTGAAGCAAAGGAACTAAAATGAAGTTAGCCAAATTTTTTAAAAAGCTCAAAATATCTCATGGATTTAAAAGGGCACAAAACTACACAAGCGCATTTGAAAAGAATAGAAGGATGTCATTTGGTAAAGAATGGCAAGATTCTTTCTCCAGGTAAGAATTACCTTCTCTGGTAACTTTTGTCAATGCGATTCAAAGCACTGAATGTAATAATAATGTAGACCATCAAACCAGAAATGCTGCATCCTCTAGTTAAAGGTCAGTTATTGGAGGACCAGTTACATTTTTGCCTGCCCAGACTCCATAAGCAGCACATTTCATTAAAAATATTTTAAGGAGAGGTTTTCTAGAAGATCCCCAAAGTCAGCTCTGAAAACATTCCAGAAAGGGGTACCAAATAAAGGGTAACACAAATGAACACATGAAGTGGGAAAGATAATTGTGCCCATGAGCAAATAAATGCAAGCTATAAAAGGCAACAGGGGTTCTTAAAACTGCAGTGTTCACATGCAACATTCTATAATGGTTAAGGAATCCTTACCTTCTCTAGCTGTAATTAAAAGCTTACAACACATGTTCTCTTAAGACATCCAGCTATTTTTTATGCTCAACATGTCTTTTTATTTAGAAACCTCCTCACACAGCATTCATTGCACCTGAAACTCAGCAATGCATGAAGCAAAGAATGACTCCAGGCATGTGATATAAGTAAATGAATGATAATGTTTCTGCCTGTTGCAGATAACATGTTACACATCCACCCCAAGATATGTTGCCTTCACACATTCATAGCATAGATACTCTTTCTCCCAGCTGAAGCATCAGAAAAAGGCATATTACATCCCATCATGTAGTTATAAATTCAACTCATACAGTTAGGGACTGTTTGAACATAACAGTTTCAAAATATGGGTTAATTCATTCTGCAGCACATGCTGGGTAGATTTCTGCAGGCTTTTGGTATATTCAACTCCAAATCTGGGCTTACTGTGATAGCTGAATTCACATATATCAGATTAATCATGAGTCAAACAATCCACAATTAACTTAACTACCAAATGTAGGTAACTATGGTTTGTTTAACCCACAATTAATTTAAGGTGTCCAAGTTCACATATCTGTGGCCTTAATACTTAAAATAGCTACGGAATTAACCTAAAATTTGCCACTGTTACATGCAAATAGTCTCTATCCATATATGCATTCTAGTCTCAGACTAGCAGTTTTTAAATGTTTACACATATCAAGGAATATGGAACAATGTTCCACATAGTATTCACTCTGCTACCACATCTTTATGCTTACCACTGAAGATGCCTGGTATCCTCCTGGTTGCTGTGATTGTGGCTGACCAACAGGAACTGCATATCCTGGGGCTGACACTGTAGGTATTGCCTGTTCATGTTGGGAACCATAGGAAGCAGTCTGTTGACTACTCACACACGATTCAGTGAAGAGAGATGATCCCTGGCCACTGTCAACTGTGCCATCAGCTGTAAAGACCACAAAAGTTTTATACCACATTACAGGCCCATAATTTCATGGCAAGTCCAAATTCTCAAACTGCTTAGAAATAACTTTACCTTCTACATAAAAGAGCAAGTAGAATATACTGGTAAATATGCCCCTGCTCTACATATCCTATAAACATCAGAAACTGTGCTCATCTCAACAAGGACTGAAATAAGAGTTTCTAAGGAAGCTGTCTCCCATGAAGACAACAAACAGAAAGTAAAAAAAATAAAAATCCGTAAGTCTTATCCATAACTTCTTTTATTTTCAGGATCTTGAGATGCCACCCATGCAGTTTGTACTGTTCACACACTCTTAAATTTGCTCCTTTCTAAGCTAGCTACACAGAGCTTTCATCAACTTAACCTTTTGATAATGTTTCAGTCCTTCACTTTTTCATTGTATCATTTCCAATAACAAACACCATATGCAGCCAGGTTCATCAACTGGCTAATATTGATGAACCTTCTCACATTTTGGTAGACAAAGACATGCCAACATGTTGTAGTTCTAAATCTTTTTGATGGCTCTTCAGCAGCCATGTCTGGATGTAACATTAAGCCATAGTTTTCACCATACTTTCTTAAACAAGTCAGGATCCAGCTCACAGACAAGAAAAACTTCTATTTGTTGCATCTAATATTGGTTTGCTCCCCTCAGCCTGCAATGAATACCCAGCTGCTATCCTAAATACCTTTATAAGAGGTGAGTACTGGTTCACTTACTATTGTTTGGCTGCAACATTGGGGCAGAAAACAGAAACATTTCCTTCTTCTTCAAAGACCTTGGTTGTGACCTACCCCACGTCAAACATAGTCCTAAAGCTTTCTTCCTCCTCCTATTTCTTGAGATACAATATTGCCAGCAGTGAAGTGATACATGACATTCCTTTATTGGCTGCTTTACCACTTAGCACTGACTCCAAGAGAAATTTCCCTACCATGGCTTTTGAGACCATGACCTTCCAGCCTCCAGCCAAGTATACTGCATAATTTATTCCAGCATTTATTCCTATCAGGTCATAGAGAAAACTCAGCTAGCTCTTCAACCATTACTGCCTGAGAAAGAGCATGCACCCAATTATTACCCAAGTCCCTAGCTGCAAACTATGTAAAATGCACTATTTCCACAGATATGCTTGACCATGTGAACACCAAATTCTATAACATGCCTGAACACAACTGAAGTTGGCAGCCAACCAAGTTCAGCTAGAAAGGTGTGCTTGGTAGCACTAACTTGTAGGGAAGTCCATCTCCTGTTTAGCCATTGCACAGTTTCAAATGACTAACAAGTTATGGGGAAAGAGTCCACTTCTCCCAAAATATAGCATTCCAAGGTGATGACCTCAGAGATTGAATCTGAATTGGAAGAAGTGATGGGGCTGGAATTCTTGGCTAAAATGCCCAACTCAGCATGTCCCAAGATAAGCCAAGTAGCCTGTGACAACAAAACCATGGCTGAACTAGCAGAATCAGCTTGAGAAAGATGTAACATCCTTCTGGTATCACATCAAAAGGGCAGACAAACTGGGCAGTGTTTGCCGTTCCTGACATCTGGCCCACAAGCAGCAGGAACCTACTTTTGGATGGAGCTAACTCAGTTTTGATGTAAAGAGTGCAGGAGGATTAAGTTTGGAATCAACTTCTTAGCTTAATCAGTAATCTCCCTAGTTAGCTGGCTTCTTAAGGTAACTGATCCATCTTGCTAACAACTCTGCAATACTCCCTTTGTATCACAAAGACAGCCTAGCTGGCCTGCTTTAACATAATAAAGACTATAGTTTAGATACCTAACTGTCTTGATCAACTTTGAAGGAGAAAGGGAAGGGGGAAACACCAGACTGTGCACTAGTAGTGCGATCTCAAAACAAAATTAGGATTATGTTACTATACTGACTATTAATTGCCTAACAATCTCCTTGTTTGAGCTGGCAGCATTAAACTCAACTGTGGTTTTAAGAATGTCAAGAAAGATGCCCTTGGAAAACTTAATTTTCACACCAAAGCCTTTCTGGGATCAGTTCAGGATTTTATAGCTTCCATGTTAACCACTGGCCTCTCTCAGCTATTGGTGGGAGTAGGAAGGATGGCGGTCTTGGGCAATTGTTCCCATGGATTGCTGGCTGCATTCCAGATGATGATTTGGAATAATCTCATATTCATTATTTATTCTTTGTATTAATATCCTACCTTTTTTCCTTCTAAGGAATTCAAGGTAGTTATATATAATTCTTTCCCTCCTCTCAATCCTACCTTCACAACAACGCTTTGAGGAAGGTTGGGCTTAGAGTCTGTGATTGGCCCAAAGTCATCCAGTGATGTCCATGGCTGACTGGAAACTAGAAATCAACTTGCCTGGGTCCCAGTCCTGCACTCTTAACCAGTACACCACACAAGCTCTTTTAGAAGACTTTTATATGCACAGATACATCATGCTCAACCTTACCTCTCAGACATCATTAAAGCAATGAGATATCTTGGCTACAGACTAAAACATTAACAATCTTTAATCCTGGGGCAAAGAAATGTGGGGGAAAGTAAGGAATTGATGTTATTGGATCATGTTCCCTACTATGAACAAAAGTACCATAGTAAAATTTAATGTTCAAGTTATGGAGAACTGTGTACCAGTTCCACTGGAAATCTGGAAGGCTTTCATAAAAATTCTTATTTGCTTAAGATTTTTTAAATTTACATATTTTAGACCATCTAGATCTCAGCATATGAATTACAACCATGATATACAATACATTAAAAACTTCTAATGATTTAAATATAAAACAGCAAACTAAAATCCATAAAACATCCCATAAAATTTTCAAAAAGTTTAAACTTCTTGGCAAGTTCACAAAAGCCCCATTAAAATCCTTAAAACCAACTGAGTTTTCAAGACTTATCTGAAGGCCTGCTCTGTATGAATCAAATGCAATTCCGCTGGAAAGGAGTTCCACAACCAGAGATAAGTACCAGTTACAAAGGAAAACAAATCTATTGCCAAAGTTATACCTGCCTGCACTCTAACCACCATAAAACTGGACTGTTCCTCCTCTCATAGAGAAACACACTGAACTGCTCTAAGGAATGATCTAGTCTCAGAAACAATGACTCTATAACACCAGAAAGCTCTGTGGTCTCTCTTCCTGATGCTACTCAGATGAGTAAACACCATACTGTATTTTGGAAGCTTATCCTTTGTAAGACATGACAGTTATATCTAAGCACAGAAAGAGAAAGCCTCAGTTGTGTTGTTCTGAGTTCTGATCCATGTGTGGGGGGAAGTGGGGCAGGGAGTTAGCGTAGACTTTTAAAAGTATCACACTAAGATTAGACGGTTGATGCAGATGGCAACAATCTTCTAAATAGGCCCTGCCAGGTACTGGCTGTTTATAAGAGCATGAAAACACTAGTAACAGTGCTTTGAGATCTGCTGCAACTATTTCTTGAATGCATTCAAGCTTCCCTAAGGCTGAGGACGTATCTTTAAACATTTGATGTGATGAGGCAGGAAAGATGGAGGTACATGTGCAAGTTCTGTTTGTCTGTTTTAAACAAAAGTGATAATGCTGCATTCAGTTCATACTACTACTTCCATGGAATTAAACATGCTAGAAGATATGCTACAGCCAGCCCTAATCTGGATTTAGCTCCCACAGCCCAAGCAGACACCAAAGAACAAAAGAAAAAAAAAAGTCAAGCTGGGGTACAGACAACACTTACATAAGACAGAAACGCTCGGCTGCTGGTACTGCAGCTGTTGATGCTGATCAGCTTCTGGTTCCTCAGGCTCTACTTGAGTAGAAACTGATGCTGAAGTAGGAGGGATGGCACTGATGCCAGTGGCAGGTGCGGTGTGTTTTGTTCCTTGCTGGGCAGCACCTGCCTGTAACGTCTGTTCTATCTGCTTCTGCTGACTGACTTCTTGCTTTCTTTTTTCCTGCTCTTCTCTCACCAACTGACGCTGCTCCCTCTTTCGCTTAATTAAAGACACTCTATCCTTTATAGCTTTCGCCATTGTCTTGTGATCCCCTTCACAAACGTACCCAGATTCAACCTGAAAAGTGGATGGTTCAGGCCATCAGACAATGGTAAAGGAAATTTGGGTTTCTATAATTACACATTAAAAACGAGAACATGGAGTTAGCTAGCCAATTCCTGCAGTATTTTCCAGGAAGACATGTTCTAATGGTTTTTTAAAAATTATGTAAGAGCATAACATAAAAATGACTGAAAAAAGAAAATCAAGGCAATATATAGTATGTTTCCAAATACACTAAAAGATCCTGTCATAAAGAACATGATCTCACCTGTAAAGCAAAGACAATTCACACACAATGACTACACAATGATACACCAATGGTGTATATGATTTATGAGCATCGGCATTCCCATTGAACGGTGTAGTCATCTTCCCCAGCTATCACTAGTTCTGGAGCTATTAGTGCCCTGCTAACAGATGGTTCATCTGTTCAGAAGTGCACATGTACAATCCAGCATGGATAATTGCACTATCAGTTTTCAATGAGGGATTTTTTACCCAACAAATTTTACTCGTGCATACATGGAACTAACCAACAAGTGGATCTGCAAATACATGTTAAACACTAAATGATTTATCACCAGGTTATATGAAGGACCTCCTATGGCTGCATGGGCAATACAATTGGCTCAAGGGCCCACCATTAAGGTCCAGAAGGTTCGTAGCACGTTCTGTAGTAGCTTCATCTTTATGAAATGTCCTTCTACAGAAAGTTTGTTTGGCTCCATTTCTTAACATTTTAAAACAGATCTTAAAGTTCAGAATGTTTCAGTCTGCTTTTAACTGAATGCCATACCTCATTTTATAGGCTGGAATTTTAAGTACTTATTGAATGGAATGCTTTATGCTACCTTAGTTAACTAAATTTATATTCATAGTTTTAACACTTTCTACTTGTAAATCATCACCCCGAGAAACCTTTACCTTTAAATATAATTTTTAAAGAAGACTATGATCTAACAATCATAGAACAACCTTCTAAGCAAAAGATGCTTGATGCAAAATCCTAATGACACTGTACTTTATAACTTGGAGAATAAAAATAAAAAGTATGCTGGAAAGGAGACACATGTGATGAAACTATCCTCAAATATGCAACTTTATAAAAGAAGCAATAAAATACTATTAAACCAAGAAGTGGACAGGAGTTGTTGAATTCCCATTAGCAATTCTTTATCATCTCCCTGTGTTGCCCTGAAAATTGCTTTTGAAATTGCAAGATTTCACATAGTGCATAAGGAACTATTTGAAATACAGGGAGCAAAGTAAAAGCTGTCCTTGCCACAATGTTCAAATTACAAGAGGAGACAGTAGAGGTCCAGCCCTCTTGCTTTTTGTGATTGCCCTCTCTCAGTTAATGTTTTTGAAGGCTAAGAGGGAAGGGATAATTTAACTAAAACTGGGAAAAGGCAGCAGACAGGGCTTCTATAGATCCTCTCAATGAAACCCACTCCCTCCCAAATAATTCAATCAATGTCCTGCAATTCTGAAGTATTGATAGCCTCTTCTTAAAGTATTCATTTTAATGTCAGCAATAAAACTACAAATAGTTCAAACAGCACCTAAATCTCAGAGTTACTCAAGTCCTACACATAAACAGTTATTCAATCTCCTCATGACCTACCATTTCCTGTGCTACATCCTCTGGGACATCTCTTTCCAAGTCAAAAGAAAATTCTATTGCTTCATTGTCCTTGTATTTGCCCTTAAGTTTTTTAATGTCTTCTATTCGTAACCAGAGCTTAATGGCAATTTTCTCTCCATCATCTTCTTCAGCTAGCTCTACCCGCACACCAGTCTCTTCCTGGAAGAATGCATGATTCAGAAGGTCTTTGATAGCATACCTGAAAATAGCAGAAAGGAAAGAACAAAAGAGGAATGGAAGAGTCAGAAGCAATGTTACCTTTCATCAAGCATCACACTATACAATGCAATACCCCAACTCCTAAACTAATTTGGACATATCAACTATCTGATTGCCACTTAAAGAAGTAATGCTAGATGCTTGGCTTCGAGTATCAAGGAGTTCATACCTATTTTCAAGATAAGTTTGGGCACGTATGAACAGGAGTTAAATTAACACACTCAGTAAGAGATTCTACAAATGTTTTATAGCTCTTTAAAAAACAGTTTTTCTAATTGCTCATGCCTGCACAAATACACCTTGTAGAACTATCATAAAGAAATTGAGAAAGGGGAAAGAAATGCATTGAATATTTGAGGTCATCTGATCTAAAAGTGGAGTTTGAGATTCAGAGTGGATGCAGAAAAGATCCAGCACCAGGAGCCAATCTATAATACACAGAAGCTCCACACATTTAACAAGACATTGCCAACAACTTTTAAAGCCCATCATATTTAAAAATTCACTTTTATTTTTTTTTCAGGGTTAAATAACATCATAAGAAGAACCACGAGGGATCAGACTAAAGGGCCATCTATTCCAACATTCTGTTCTACAGTAGTTAACCCACATGATTGCAATAGCATCCTCTTACATCCCCCAGCAACTGGTGGACAAAGGCATACTGCCTCTGGTACTTGAAGCTATCAGGACCAGCAGCCATTGGTAGCCTTATCATCCATGAATATGTCTCATCTCCTTTTAAAATCATCCAAAGTTAATTTCACTGATACATCTGACAGTCATAAATTCCACAGTTTAAGAGTTGTGTGAAGTAGCACTTCCTTTTCTCTGTCCTAAATCTCTCTTTAATCAGCCACATGGGACAAAACCACTTTAGAAATTAGTAACAATTTGCAACAAATACAAAGAGTCATAACTGGATATTGCTTATGTGGCCTTTCTTCTAAATCAAACCATAATGACAAAGGTGTCACATGCAGTTTGCTTTCTGAAACCATACGTACAAAACAGTTCTAGAATCATTTCAGGGATGGGCAGACCAAGATGGAGTGAGCAAGAATGGGCAGACAAGCTTGGTGGATCTATGGCTTGTTGATTTTTTTAACTGGAACTGAACAATTCATCCCTATATCCTGGAACAAAAGACATGCACTCAGAATTGATAATTTCTGACAGTGATACAGGCTAAGGGTGTACCCTAACCCTTAGCCTGTATCACTATGGTCAAGCTATCCCTGTCAAGGAGGGGTTATAAGTGGTGAACCAGTGGTAGACAGTGAACTAGTAGAAAATGATAAAATGCACTCAAAGTTGTCATGGCCACTTTGGACTTTAGTGACAATGATGGATCTAGAAGTATAACACTGGGAACAAGATGCATAGCTCAATAGTCAAGAGGCTGAGGAATGGTCAACCAATGCTACTTTCTGAAATGTTTCTGTATAGCCTGAAGTGCCTGATCCTGCCTAATCTTTAGCAGGGTCAGAGCTGGCTGAAATCTGGATGGATGACTTAAATGTTGTGAACCACCCAGCTTCAGCTACATGTGGAACAGAAATGGATGATGGTGGTGGTGGTGATATCATCTCCTTGGCTAGTCTTTATTAAACAGAAATGGCAAGGATCAAAGGTCATAAGGTCAGTCACATTTCTGCGACCATCTTATGCACATCAGCCCATGGAAAGTGAAATTGATCTCACAAAATCAGACAGAAAGTTATGTCAGACACCTCAGCATGTGCTAGACTAATGAGAGCATCAAGTTCACCGAAGAGACAAGTATTTTTGTCTTCAAAAAGGTGATGGTGTGTCCTTGAGTGGACCACGGCTCCTATCACTTAACAATACCTAGACCATCCAAAAGAAGTTCAATGGATGGCTACTCAAGTATGCAATGGAGGCAATAAAAGTCAGTCTTTTCTACCCACAGTGTCACACAAATGACATGATAATATATTCTAGCAAGTACTCAGTTCTCTTTATTTCATGTTGTATACCATTTTCACTCTAGCTGGCACGCAGCTTGTTCATTTATTACAACTCCCCAGTATACCAGGGTCTGATGGGGCACTACAGCATCAAAGGGGGCACTCAGGTTCAGATGGGTCTCTGTACCTCACCATTCCACAAGGAGACTCGGGCTTTGGCTGAATCATAAGCTCTTTCCACTGGCATTCCTCAAAGGCATGCCAAAATTGACTGGATTCCATCAGTCTCCTGTGGCAGACTATCCAAATTAGACCCAAATGCCAGTCGGATAGAAGTAATACTTTGAGTTCAAATTCCACCAGGAACTGGTTGGATTATAATGACAGGGTTACTTGGAACATGCCCCCAGCCCAATTTCCAGATTAGTCATCTTGCAGTTCAGAGCAAAGACCAAACCAAGAATATGCTCTGCTTCATGTGTTATGGTGATGAAAAACAGAGACATTTCCATCAGTTTTCAAAGAGGGCAGGGGATCATTTAGCTGCTTCTGCAGTTAAACAACTTGGAGTCAGAAGCCTTTGCCAATCTCTAGGTGAAAATCACCTTGAGATCAACCAGTGGATCCAGATCTACCTTCTGCCCACACCTGACATACCTAAACATTCAGAAATTACATGCTATGGTACTTGAACTTATGGTACTAAGACCAGATTTCCATTTCTATTATTTAGTTCAAGCAAAATGAATATTTACCTTTCATCTTTGTTTTGACGAATACATCCTTCAATTATTTCTTTTACTTCAGGAATTGCTACTTTATCAAAGCTGGCTGGCTTGACTCCCTGAAACACAAAAGCAGCAGTGGGGGAAATATGTAACAACGAAAGAGAAAAAAATATGTATCTGTACTTTATCATAATAAATGGTTTCACTAGTTTTATAGTAAAAAAGTTCTGAGACATGCAATAAGTTAATATTTATGTATAGGAGAGTCAAAGTTGATTTGATTCTTGATTTCTCTGTCCAACTTGTGACAAAAGCAATTCTTTTCAGTAACCAAGAGTTGAGCTATTTGTTCTGCCTCAGTGATTTTACACATTCTACAAGTGTTGTTTAAGAAATAGTTACATTCAAGTGTGAAAAACCTGGACAAGTGCTTCAAGTAGATTTTGCAATTTCATTTTCGTTTGTGCAACCTAACTGAAAGGGGGTGGGAGAGATTAAATGTTATTCCTTCTACATTTCTTCTACAAGAAACCTCTAGAAGAAGTCATCTGGAGTATGATGCCATCAATATGCTGGTGATAGCTCTATTGTTCTTTGCCACCTAACACCATGGAACCACAAACCCCTTGAACACTGCCTGTATATGATCATGGGAAGGATGCAAGAGAAGTTAAACTTAAGACAAAACAGAACTGTTGTTGGTTAGCAGGAAACCTGACCAAGGGATCAGAAATCAACCTGTTCTGAAAGGGGTTGCACTCCCCTGATCAAGTTCAAAACTGGGAATGCTCCTTGATCTGCTTTCTCTCTGAATCTTGAAATGGCAGCAACAGTAAGGAATGGGTTTACAGAATGAGAGTAACAGATTTGGTCTGATGGGAACAGTTAGACACACCTTGATTACATCATGTTTAGACTACTGCAATATTCTCTAGATAGGATTACCCTTGGAGAGCATCTGGAAGCTACACTTAGCACAAAATGCAGCAGCTTAGTTTTTAATCGGTGCATATTATTGGACGCATATTAAATCTGTCTTGAAAAAACTGCACTGGTTGACAGCTGCTTTCTGCTCCTAATTCAAAGTTAGGTTTTATTCTATAATGGACAAAATGGCACAATACATAATGAACAACTTCTGCTCATTCTGCCTTTTATATTTTTCATTTCATTTTGGTACAGTTGGAATAAGTGTTGAAGAATACAACTAAAATTATAATGGGGCTGGGGCAAATTCCCCTATAAGGTACATTCTCTGAGAATGTTTAGCTTGGAAGAAAGGTGAATAAGAGCAGAGATGAGGTGCAAAAATAATGCACATTATTGAGATACTAGATCGGAAAACATCTTATGAAGCTAATTTGTGGGAAATTCAGGATGGATAAAAAGACTTCTCCATACAGTGTATACATAAACTATGGAATTCATTACTATAAGACATAGAACTAGTCACTAACTGTACAGCTTTAAAAGGGAAGTAAGGCTATCATGGAAGTAAGGCTATCAATGTCTGTTGTTGTTGTTGTTATGTGCCATCAAGTCATCTCTGAGTTATGGTGACCCTATGTATGAAAACTCTCCAAAATGCTCTACCTATGACAGCTATAAATTCAAAGAACTGGATTCCTTTATGGAGTCAACCCATCTCATATTTGGTCTTCCTTTTCTTCCTTTGCCTTGTTCTTTCCCTAGCATGATTATTATCTTCTCCAAGTAGTTTTGTCTTCTCATGATGTGCCCAAAGTATGACAGCCTCAGTTTTCTCATTTTTGCTTCTAGGGAAAGTTCTAGTTTGACCAATGCCTACTAGTCTACTATACAATACCTCTAGCACCAGAGGCAGAATACTCATGTATATGAGTCACTGAGAAACATGAGCAGCAGCATGCTGTCACATTAATGAATACTTATGCATTTCCCTCCAGGAAGGTGGGTGATCAGTCCATGAACAAAATACTGTATTAAAAACACCTTTTGTCTGATCCAGCATGGTTTATGTTCTTACCAAATGAATCATTGCGAATTTGGCTGGGTCAATGATCTGCAAGAGAGGCCCTTTTGAGGGCACCATTATGCACAAAGGCCCTTTGCTGGGTATGTATGAAATGGCTTTCTCCTGTGTTGGTCAAACTGTGGTGGATAGCACTCTAATCAAGAATTATGGTTGGCTCCTATTCTATTTACTTTTAAACATCTTTTAAGCTTACTTTTTAAGTTATATAGTTTAATGTTTTCAATTTTAGATTGAAATTAGATTTTATTAGATTCTTAGATTTTATTCTTTTACCTTCTTGTGCATCACCTTGATTATTTTAATTAATATGGCTGCATAGAGATGATAATGGATGGGTTCACACAACACACTAAGCCACCCTATGAATAAGCTACTCGGCATAGATTGTTCACAGAACTCATGGTATGTCCAACAGACCACTGAGTTCACCATGGCTTGTTCACCCTCACCTTCTCTCTAAGCCCTCCAGGTATGGAAGGTTCTTTATGCCCTCCACCTTTACAGCAGAACCTGCCTTACCTCTTCCTCCTTGCACCAATCACTGCCCCTTTTGTCTACCTTAAAAAAACCCAAATACTCAAAAAAGTGTAATTGGGGTCATTTTTATTTTCTCAATCCCAGAAAACTGCAAGGTATGTTCTTAATTTACTATTATTAATATTAGTATTAGGTTTGTTCCACAAGAGCACAAATATGCTCTTACTGCTATCCAGTATATATTGCCTTCCCTAGTCAATTTCTTTGTACATTTTAGCTACCAAAGACAGCAGTGGGAGCACAGAAGTGGTAACTTGCCTGGTGAGATGAAGGCTAATTTGCAGCAGGGACCGACTGCTGAGTTGCCAAACACAAAAAAAGGTGAAAAAGCAGCAAAAGGCACACCAGGTACAGATACTGCCTCTCCCACTATTTTTACAGCTCTTTTCTGGAGTGCTTAACTCTGAAATTGCAGCAGATCCCAGATAGTTGTGTAGGTAAGCAGGCAGGCAAATTTAATGGCTCAGAAGTAAATGGAGAGGGGAATTCTGTATAAACATAAGGGCTGGAAATTCACTTCCTTCCCATTCCTTCTCAATCCTTAAATGTATACAGAATTTCCCTCCATTCACATCCCAGCTATTAAATATGCAGGTGTGCATGCATGCACACACACACCCTCCTCTTAAAAAAACCTGAGCAATATTCTGAAATATATATTTTAAAACCTCAATCCATATAGCAGCCCAGAATGGAGCAAATGCATCACTAGCAGTACTTAACAATACCCCAGGCCCAGTTAGGCCTCATTCATTCTGTTTCAGTGAGTCACTTCAGGTGTTGTTGGTTTTTGTTTTTCATTTTATATCTTGCCTTTTTCCTACAAAGGGCTCAAGGCAGCTTACATCATTCTCCTTCTCCATCTTATCCCCACAACAACAACCCTGTGAGGCAGGTTGGGCTGAGAGTCTGTGACTGACCCACCCAGTTGGCTCCATGGCTGAGCGGGGACAAGAACCCAGATCACCTGAGTCCCAGTCCCATGGTCTTAACCACTACACCACACTGGCTCTCTATACCACACTGGCTCTCCAGTTTTTTAAACTGGAGGGATCAACCGTAATTGCAATACCAAGCACTCCAAAAAAGAGAGAGCTGTTAAAAGGTGGAATAGTCACCATCTTCCCTTTCTGGAACAGCCAGAGATTTAGTAAAGTGTTGAAAAGGTGGAGAGCACTTAGAAGTATCAGCTCAACACAGAAAAGTGAAAGGAGCACACTGCCAGGGAGAAGATATTATGTCCCAATCACCTTTGGTGTACCTATTTCTGCCATTCCTCCCCCCCTTCCAGTACTTTTCAACTGATAACTTAGTAATTGATCCTGGAAACTGTACGCAATTTAGCCTAAATGCAGTTTTGTCTCCTCAATTCCATGCAAATTGCCCAATCCACTTTGCTGTTCCTTTTAACATCTGACTCTTACAAGAATTTGTCCAGGAAAGACTATGAATTCAGACAGCTGTAAAGGCACACTTGTATGACAAAAATAACAATTTTCAAAAATTATGAGCACATTTGTACAATTTTGTGACCAAAAAACATTTTAAAGAATGGTGGCAATTGAGGAAGGATAGCTCCAAAATGTGACAGCCCTGCCACTGATGTCCAAGTGACTAGTGGTGGCAAAAGCTAAAACATGAAGTAATGCAGGTGCTTGCTGTTCTTGCCAGGTGGCATGCAAGCAGATCCCTTCAACTCAAGATATAATTGCTATAGTTGAGTAACAAAAACACAGTGGATCAAACAACCCCTAGAACAAGCAATGGGTCATCAGAATGGATTGCTGCTGAAAAATAAGCAATTTGTGGGAAGGGGTCTGACTGTGGATGATAGAACAAGCTACTATTCTTGCTGGTTACATCCACGATGGATTGTCATGTCATGTAAACCAGGTCAAAGGGGGGGGGGGGGAGAGAAAAAAAAAAAAAAAAAGAACTACACCGGACAACTGTACCCATAATTGAGGAACACATTGAGTATGAAGTGATTCAGGTTTGCTAAAAAAGGTTTTATCAAATAAGTGATCTGCACTATTTCCAGATCCAGAACTTAGGCTTAATATTTACTGACAAACTGAGATCCATCCATTCTTGTTAAATCTTATATAGTCCCAACCTTGATTACATCCATCTTTATGCTTCATCTTCCCTTTGATTTCTTCTTTTTCTGTCAGTGACCTGGTTTAGACATACTGCTAGACCAAAGTTCAAAATGTATAAACTTGCTCTTTTCCAAGTTGAGCATATCTGCTTCAATTTTAAATTAAACATAATTTGTACTTTTGTTTGAACTAGGAACTGTGGTTAGTTTTATGTATAATTTATCCCAACAAGCTAAGATCATATTATCCTGAACCCAGCTTATTCATTAAACAATGGTTCAACTAACTGCAGTTCCTGGTTTTTGTTTTTGTTTTAAGGATTATTTTAAATGGATGCAGATGCTTCCCATTTCCTCTTTGCGGTTGCACCAGTGTAGGGACAAAATTCCAAGCCTCACAGTGTTCTGTTCCATTCAACACTCATATATACAGCATCTTTCCTCCTCTTTCTAAAAAAAACAGC